ACCTCCCTAGCGTGAGGTGAACGATGATCCTGTCGCCGCCAGGCAGTGCCGTTAGCTGCACTACCCTCTCGAGATCGATCAACTCTCCTTTCCACGGTTCGTTTAGAGCAGCTGGATCGAAGATGGCCCTTTTCCCCACAGCCATAGCACCTAGGGCTGTATCCTTTGCTGCGGTCACGGACTGTAGCTGCTGCAACCTCCCTGACGCGATGGGAACGATGATCCTGCCGCACGGCTTCCACCTCCAGTGCATGGGCCAAGGCGTTCTTAAGCGTGTCGTGGTGCCCGAGTCTCACAACAGCTCTGACTTCAAGGTCGCGGATGCCGTCGATGAATGTCTGAACCAGGTTCCCTTCAATGAGCGCAGGTACAGACCGGTAAGCTTTTCGCACCAGCCTCTCCACCTCTAGAGCCCACTGCTGCAGGTTTTCGTTGATGCGCTGCACACGATCTTTAACCTGCGCACGAAAGACGTGTTCCAGGTGAGCGTCGCCATATCTCGCCTCCAATGCCTCAAGGAGTTGCTCATAAGTCACTTCCTCACCGAGAGCTTCCAGAACTGTTAAGGCCTGGTCGCGCAGGCCTAGTGTGAGAGCAGTCATGGCCTGACTTTTATTCCAGCCGTTCGCCTTCATAACAGCCTCGAACTGGATTTTGTAGGCTGACCAGGAAGAAGTCCCGTCGAATGGTGGCACCTTGAACCCACGTAGCGAAGGTGTAATAGCTACTACGGGAGCTGTAGTTCCATCCCCCCAGTTTGAGGTCGTCCAGCGTTTTCTTCACGTCAGCCATCACGTAATCAACCCGATTGTTTACTTGGTCGATTTGGGTTTTAGCTTCCTTGATTTGGGTTTCAGCTTCCGACAGGCGGTTGTCATGTTGAGCAACCCTATCCTTCACCTCCGTAATCTCTTTCCCGAAGTTAGCGTGAATGTCCTTCACGAGGAGCATCTGCTCTTCCTGTCGGCGGGCCTGTTCCTCCTGCTGCTCTTTCAACCAACGGGCCTGTTCCTCCTGTCGGCGAGCCTGTTCCTCCTGTCGGCGAGCCTGTTCCTCCTGTCGGCGAGCCTGTTCCTCCTGTCGGCGAGCCTGTTCCTGCAGCATCACCATCAGAGCACCTAAATCGGGTGCTGCAGATGGAGGAGCTACTGACGGGCCTGCAGCCGGCGGCTGGCCCTCCGACGTCAGCGGCGTTGCACCACCAAATCTTCTTTGGTCCGTCTCCTGCTGGCGTTGATTTCGGGTACGGACACCCTCCGTTTCCTCCTTAGGTAAAATCGGCATGATTTTATCCCACTTCTGACACCAATTGTTACGAGCTTGAGGTTCGTGACAATAAAAATTGCCGATAAAATTACCTAAATTAACACTTTAATTTACTTTACACAAATTAAAGTTAAAACACTAATAATTAAACACACTAATTCACTTAATTCCGCCCGAAACTTCGCTTGTTTCGCCCAAATCAACACTGCCTCGATCGCATCTTGCAGCGCCTATATATTTGAATTAGCAAATAAATATCCAGAATGTTCAAGTAAACACGCGGAAGGTACCGAGCGTTCGAGTTTCGACTAGGCGCTGTCAGTTGAGCGATTTGTGATGTCATTTTCTCAATGCTCCCCTCGCTCTCGTTCCTGACACTAGATGGCGCTAGTGTATCGTTGACTGGAGCGCGTAACAGTAATTTCATAAGTTACCACCCGTTTAGTGATGAAAACTTGAGAAATAAATTTTAAGGAATGTACTCTCAAGATTATAAAGGGAAGATTATGCTTAGCAGTGGAATGTTTCGTCTCTTTATTCTATATACATACATCTCATTTTCTACCTACACTCGTGTGCCGAGTCGACAGGTGGAGCACAAAAGTTTTAAACATTCATTGCGTCGAATTAAACCAGGCAGAGGTTATCTATAAGCTTCGAATAAGGTAAGTAAATTAATATGAGTTTTATTAATAGGTAAAACTCTTCTATTAATTTAACCTTACCGTTTTTTTTTAGGGTGACAGCTATGTGAGACGTATTTTTTATCGCCTGGTGGTAGTAAAAAAGAAATCAGGACACAAATGTGAAATGGTAATCGAGTACAGTGTTGTTGTAAAATTAAATTATTTTTTTTATATCGTAAAGTATAATTATCAACATAAATAATCATCTGAATTAATCAGCATTGGTATAGACTTCAATCATATTAATGGAGAGAAACTTAAATTAAAGAAAAACACTTCGCGCCGGTAAAATTTTGTAAGTATTTCTGGAACTACAATTAGCTTCCGCTAAAACATCTTCTATAGAATGATTATTTAACAAATCCCTCGAAGCTACAGCTGGGCGAATGCTTCCCAGTACCGCCGTGATGTTTACCTTCACTAGAAGTGATTTTATCCAACCCACAATCATAGCTCTTGATATAGGTTTTAGATCTCCTCAAAGTGTAACGAACAAATTATTGCGACTTTTTCTCGCCTAGCCTGCATAGATTTAATTAATTCATTAATCCAAAAAATGGGATTTAAATTATGCGAATCATGGCTTACAAATAAAAACTAATTTCTTAACACCTCCAGTTTTATCAATTTTGTTCGTAAAAGATTCAGCACTGAATAAGTTTTGGCATGAAGGTGGTATCTTGCGCCAGGTTGCCTGCACTAACGGGTCTCGAACATGCTTAGTAATATCATTCTTTCCATTTGCAATATCTCTGCACAATGAGCGCATATAAACTGCATCAAATCTGGCGATATTTTGTGAAGTTCACCTACAGAAAACAAAAATAAGACTTTATCAGATAGCGATTCAAAATAAATCGTTTGTTCTAACTGGAACCAGGCCAAAGGTCACTCAAGGTTCTTTGTAATGATTCTTTCTGTTTAAGAAAAAAGGTTAAAGCAGCATATACCTTACCAGTATAAGCTAGATTACAAAGTGACTCGTAAGCCTTAATCTCCTCATTTGGTTCAGGTCAACGAATGCAGGGTCACAAATATACGTGTTTTGAGTATCACATATCTTAAATCACACCAAATAAAACTAATTAGCAATAGAATGTCATGTTATATCAGAAATAAAGCCGTTATTTGCTTCGGCTAACTGTTTTCAAAGATTATGTATTTGTCTCTATAAATCATCAAGCTACGGCTTGAACGTGATTTTTGACCCTCTTTTCTTTTGGCGGCAATGCTTTCGCTTTTTTTCCTAGAGTCAGAAAATGAAGCAGCCGAGTAACTGTTGAAACTGCTGCTAAATGTAGACAATCATCTTTGATTCTTTGACAGCAAAGGATCATTGTTATGAACGGGCATTTCTTCCATTGTTATGAATTAATTAAATTATTAAATATCAACTTAGCGTTCGTAGTTAGCCGTGTTTAATATTATATTTAATATATATGTGTGTGTGTATGTATATATAATGTTAATATATATATATATATATATATATATATATATATATATATATATATATATATAATATATATACTTATATATGTATGAGTTTATATATATTGCAAAGCCTTGGTAGCTCAGATGGTTAACGCTCGTTGTAAATATAACAGAACGCGAGTAACCCGGGTTCGATCCCCGCCGGCACCAATGAAATTGTTAATTGCAATTTTAAGTGCTGATTTACCACGTGCTCGCCGGTAAAGGAAAACATATTGAGGAAACCTGCATGTCTGAGGAATAAGAAAAAAAGAAATATTTCGAAGACATGTGAAGTTCGCCAACACGCATTGGGGCAGCGCGGCGGATACTTCCTTGCCCTAAAACCCTGTCAGAAATGAGGGGAGGCCTGTGCCCAGCAGTGGGACATATATAGGCTGTAACTTTACTTTACTTTTTATATATATTGTTCTTGTACATACTTCTTATTACACCTACCTCTTTTTTCTTCTTTTTTCCATCTCTGCACTACTCTAAGGTAGACTGGTAGATAATGCCTCAGGCATTAAGTCCGCCTAAAATAAATAAATACATCTAATGTGTATATATATAAATAAATAAATATAAATATTAGTTAAATATACTACAAACGGTAAAAGCGATAAATAAAAATTATTGGCAAATTCAATTCTGTCGATGTTTCTCCCGATATAAATAGTCTTTCCACACATTTTCACATATTTATATTGTTTTTAAAAAAGAGTGTAATTACGTCGTTGTTGCACCAGATGAGCGATATGTCGAAAATCCACGCTTAAAATTTTGTCTTAAAATATAATATCAATAATTAATTATGTACGTTGCCTCTATGTGTTGTACTAATAACCGATGAACACTTAAACACGCTATAATAATACTTTTTTACTTCAGTAAGATTATTAGTGAAAGACAGGAACCCCTTCTGCATTTCTTGCCGCGGCGTTGAACAATGGTGGTGGTAGGAAAAGATATATATATATATATATATATATATAGAAGAAAGAGATGAATCTTATGGTGCGAAGAAGTTACTGCTATCTCGTACAGCTATAAGCTTCGTAGAGTAAAGGATAGTAATTCGGAATACTGCATTATAAAAATAAATAAAAGCGCCATCTAATAACGAATGCCTGTATTACGTAGTCCGTGTACTAACAAACAAAGTGGGCGTGACTGAGAAGCAGCCATATTGACAGCGCCGTGACAAACTGCATCGGAGTGAAAGTGCTGTCGAGAAAATTTTTCATGTAAGTAATAAATCGGCTTGCATCTTGAGTTTAACTTATATTTACATGTTTGTATTTGTACAAATCTATAGTTTTGTGTATCAGTTGTAGAAATCATGGCTTATTTTCGAAATTATTCTAAACACACATTGATAAAAATATTTTAGGTTAAAAATGGTTCTTTTGCTAATTTGGAATACTATAGGTGAAGTCAATTTGGAATATTCCAAATTATGTGCACATTAGTTTGCCTTCTTGTTTCTACTTCTGATTGAAAGGATTCTTTTTAAGTATTTATTATTTATTCAAATAGTCTTTTTGATCAATATTATTTAATTTTGTTTTAGTAATGTCTTCGACCACTGCTAACTCTGCCAGTAAATATAAAAAGCGTAAGAAATGGAGTCAAAATGATATGGCTGCTGCAATATTAGCAGTTCGAGACAAGAAAATGGGCTATTTAAAGGCAGCAAAAACTTATAATGTACCCAGAACCACCTTATTTCGACTTGTTCAAGAAAATGACAGTTTGTTAGAAGATACTCTGACCAAAAAAGATAGGTCGCAGACCAGTATTTAATAAGGTTTTTGAGGAAATGTTGGTGAAATATGCCCTTGTTATGGAACAAAAATTATATAGTTTGACTCGAATGGATATGAAAAGGATAGTACCTATATCAACTTGCTGTTAAAAATAATGTGCCCCATCCATTCCATGACGACAGAGCTGGCAGATACTGGCTCAAAGGATTTCTTGCGAGGCACAAGCAAACTTTATCAATACGCAAGCCCACTGGAACATCTTTTGCTAGAGCCAATGGATTTACAAAAGCAAGAATGGACGAGTTTTATCAAAATCTTGAGAAAGTTTATGACGAAAAAAAGTTTACGGCTAGTAGGATTTTTAATGTTGACGAAACAGGACTGTCTATTGTACAAAGCAAATATCCCAAAGTGATTGGTCGCCGAGGAAAAAAGCAAATTGGAGCTATGTCGTCTGCTGAAAGGGGAACTCTCATAACAGTGGTGACCTGTATGAGTCCAGCTGGTATATTTGTACCGCCAATGATGATTTTTCCGCGCAAAAATAATAGCGATCTATTAAAGAAAGGCTCTCCTGAGGGTTCTATTATCCGAGTATATCCTTCTGGCTGGATACAAACACATTTATTCACGCAGTGGTTTGAACATTTTATCGATTATGTAAAGCCGTCCGAATCCTCACCAGTTCTCCTCTTACTTGACGGTCATTTCAGCCACACAAAGAATATCGAGCTCATAGATAAAGCTAGACAGAATCATGTGACTTTGATTTCACTGCCGCCACATTGCACACATAAGATCCAGCCCATGGATAAAGCATTCATGGGGCCACTAAAAAGTTACTACAGTGAAGAAGTTCGTATGTGGTTGCGCGAAAACAATAGACCACTTACTGCCTACGATATTTCAGAGTTATTTGGCAAAGCTTATCTAAAATGCCAGACTGGTGAAATTGCAGCAAATGGCTTTAGAGTTGGTGGCATTTATCCATTAAATACAAATATTTTCACGGAATCTGACTATCTCGCAGCAGCACAAGAATCAGCGGATGGCATTGCTGAAAACGAACAAGAAGCACGTAGTCCTATCGCTGCAAGTCCACAAGTCATAAATGAAGCTAGAAAGCATTCACCAACCCTATTACAAGGTTTCGATGACAGTTATGTTGATGTTTCGTCAGATAGCAGACAACAGTCAAATGAAATTGTGTCGGAAACAGATCCTCCATCAGTAAACCTTCCTGATATTGCCATGCGAGAAGAACAAGAAAAAGAAAATCTTCCTGGACCTTCTCGTAGTAACCCCATTGTGACACCGTTTCAAATCTCACCAGTTCCTACTTCCAAATATCGGTCATCAAATCGAGGTCGTAAGCCAGGTAAATCTGAAATAATTTCTAGTTCACCCTACAAAAAGCAATTGGAAGAAGCAATAAACAAAAAAAAAAAACTGAAAAAACCATTTGAAAATGAGTATAAAAATAGAAACAAAGAAAAGAAAACAAATAGAAATTTAAAAGGAAAAGGGAAAGGAAAGGGAAAAGGGAAAAGTTCCAAATCGACCAAAAGAAAGATATTTCCAGAAAAAGACACAGAGTCTGATAGTGATGATACATTCGCATCTGATGAATCAGAAGAAGATATACCCTCTTATGCTAATGTGAGACAACCTACAGGAAATGACTGTATTTGTTTTTTCTGTAATGGAAAATTTACCGAAGATCAAAGGTTAGAACAATGGGTGCAATGCTTCACATGCGAAGGCTGGGTGCACAGCGAATGTGCTGGTTATGATTCGGGTTGCTATGTTTGTGATTACTGCAAAGACTAGAGAAAAAGCAAAAAAAGTAGAATTAATTTAGAAATAAGCATTGATATAGTTTTTTAATTTAAGTGATCTCAGTATCTTGTATCTACAAGATTTAGGCCAATTAAATGGTTAATTAAAGTTAATTATTTAGGTGATTGTAATTTGGAATACCCTATTCCAAATTTGATTCACTTTATCTAAACTACGCCAATCTGTGACTCTATGACTAAACCAAAAAAATTCCTACTTAAAATAAGCCAAGGTTTTCAATTATTTTTTATTTGATTAAAAGATAAGTTTTTCTAACACTGAATGCAGTTTTATTCTTAAAACTCGCAACCCATGACTGATACGATTTTTTTAGAAAGTGGTATTCCAAATTTGCATCCTTTACTCTATAATAGTCAGGTCAAATTAATAAACTCCACAACTCCTTTAAGGCCGAATATGAAGAGAACTGGCGAAACCTTCATGTATTTCTTGTCACTAGAACTTTGACCTGAAGTTATAATAAGAGATAAAACATTTTTGTACGATTTTTCGGTTCCTTCACAATGTGCCCGCCGTTTTAAAATTGTAAAATAAGCCAATAAAAAAATGTGTTAAATCATGATATCTAAAAATGATTTTTATTCCAAAACTCTGTGAATATAAATTTAGGAAATAATATTTTAAGTAAAAATATTTGTATTGTGATTCCGAAGGTCGCCTTCTTCATTTCCTACCTTATACTATAAAATAATTGTTTTATTAACATAATTCGTTTTAATTACAAACGCCTACAAATAGTATTGTATATTGTCAGATAAAAGTTTGCCGTCATAAATTACCAGGCGCTTCGATGTGTGGTGTAAGGTGACAATAGTCAATTATTTCTGTATTGAAATTCGTTAATTTAGTGGTTTACACATGACTATAAATGTGAATATGCCTAGGAAAAGAAATAAATATTACCTAAGTGGTAAAACAAAGAGAGTTTATCGCAAGAACGCTGCTCGAATGTGGTACATTCCACTTTCAGGTTATATTTTATTGTAAGATACTTTTTTGTTGGAGGCTGCCTTATAGGCTACATTTTTACTAATTTACATTAGCAAAACGAATCATTTATACGTTTCTGCGTGATGAAGTCAGAAACTCTAAAAATGATATCACGACCGAGTCGAAAAATAATGTACAGAGTAGTGCAAGAACAGAGACCGCAATTAATGTTATGGTCAATGTACTGTCTGAAAGTATGGGGTAAGTACATAATTAAGAAAAATCGACATTCTACGGGTGTGAAGTGATTTATTGGTCGAAGAAGTCTAGTGAGAATTTACACACACAGTACCTACCCCCACTATGGGGCAAACAGGTAATCTTTAGTTTTTTTCCTTTATAATTTACGCAATTTACATTACGGAATCTGATAAAACTTACAAGAACAAACATTTTCAGTTACGTGGAGTATTTTACGTACGATGCACTAATTCAGAAAAAAATCGATGTCAATTCAATAATTTTTCTTTACAGAATAATTTTACTTTACAGAACTTATAATCTATACTAATATTATAAGAAGGAAAGATTATTATTTTTGAATGTTTGTAACAAATAAAGTACAGAATTTATAATCTATATGAACTTATATTATAAATAAAAGAGATTTAATTAAGAAGTAAGCAATGCTCTCTCTGTTATTCCTTACTCTGCATACTGAGCTAGCGCACCGTAGCCGTAGGGCTAACGCGCGTGATGTTCGAAATGAATGATTTAATGAAATTCCGATCTATTAATATTAAGAAAAAAGACGTGTGGCACTCGGGGACTGCCGCGGTAAAGCTATTGCATAGCATTATTTAACAACTTATGCAATTATAATTAATTATTTATTTTATTTTATTTATGCAGTTAAGTCTTTGATATTAAATCAAGTTACACTTTTTGAGCATGGTGACCGATAAGAAAACAATTTTTTCTCTTATTGTATAAATGAGAAGTTAATATTGTTTAAAATATTTTTAATATCTTACAATACATGTAGGTTATTCAGGAATTTTTATCATTCAGTTAGCAGCTAATTAATCATGATATATATCTTTTTTTTTCGTCGGAGACTAAAATGATATTGCTTTTTTTCGTAACTGCAGATTCTGTGGATTTATTTCATTATTTTGAACAATATACGAAACTTAAGTGACTAAAATTAAATCTAATCTGAACCAGAATCATAAAAACTGTATTATTCGGGCTAAACGAATCTAATAAAGATCTGTTATTTTTGTCTCCTGCGAAAAAAAACAGACTATAGGAATCTATCGAATACCTACATAAACAAAATTTATCACCTATAAATAAAATATTACGAAGCGGAATAACTAATAAGAGTGGCAACGTCGCACTATACAAAGGAATTGCGTTAAGACGACACCTCGAAAGGGCTATCGCTGGACTGATCCGAGTGAATGCATAATTTCTATAAAAGCTTGAAAAAACCCTCATAAGGTCTAAAATAGCGTAGCGCCCGCGACGATTTAAAGCGCTTAGAAATTCTCAGAAACTTTAAAAATATTTTTGTAAAAATTATTGATTTGAGTAATCAAAATAATGAGCAAGTAAATTATGAATATTAATGTTATGAATATATTTGAGTGATTTTGAAGCATATAGATTAAGTAATTTCGTTGTAATTTCAACTATTGGTTTTTTAGAGGTGTTTTCGCAAATAATTATGATCGAGTCAAAATTATACTATTGTGTTTTTGAGCAATCAAATTCAAGATAAAGACATGAATTTACCTATATCAAAATTTCACTTCCCTTAGTGGTGTCATAGTCCTATCAATTATTTTATTATTATAATAGTACATGATATTCCCTTTAAAATGACACCAATATGGATAATATCTTATATCTATATCTACAAATATATAAAATTGAAGTGTCTGTTTGTAATGTTAAAATAACAGCTTTTTATTAAATGCATATGAAAGTACTAGTAACAAAAACACAATTTTAAAATTTTTTGTCTGTCTGTCGGTTTGTCTGTCTGTCTGTCTGTTTGTTCCAGCTAATCTCCGAAACAGCTGGATCTATTTTGACGGGACTTTCACTGGCAGATAGCTGATGATATAAGGAATAACTTGAACTACTTTTGTTTTAGAAAAAGAATTAGGGTTCCGCGCAAAAAAAATTAAAACCCATGAAATCCATATTCCACGCGGGCGAGATCGCGGGGAATAAATAGTACTCAATATAGATAAATGTATACTTATTTTTATTTATTTATTATTTTAATAAATAAATAAAAATAAGTATTAATAATTTCTAGACACATCTCAACAGATATTTCGTTAATAAATTGCTATCAATACTGAAGCATTCTTTTATATTTAGCATCCATTTTACACAAAAAAAACTGATAAGAATACTTTTTAAACAACATATAATCAATAAACGATAATCGCGTATAGTGAATTTCGAGGTAAACCAGCATGCGACGACGCGGCCCGCGCCTTGCCGCCACTTGCGTTTGCCGCGCTTTGTCTCGTCACAGAGTGGCGAAATCACAGTAAAATAAGTATTTTATAAACAGCACCTGTCTAATATTATGAAATATGTAGATAAAACTTAAAACTTACCTAGATAAATGTATACCCTTTTGTTTGTAATATTTTTTTAGACCTCTCTTCAATCGTTTCTGCTTATTCCCCATGTTTTACTAACTAAACTTAAACATTAATAAAACTGTACAATTAATATAACTATAAAACACTACTATTAAACAAGAATCAGAAAAAACCTACTCCACTATTAACAAAATTAAATTTTTGCAGTAATGTTTTGCGATTTTATTTCGTAGTGCTGAGCTCTCGCAACGCGGCGTACGTCCACCTAGCAACACGATGCGCCCCGCACTGAATTCGTGGACGAATGCGGGGGTGATATAGACGCAGTATTTAATCGGGACGCATTTTTTATTTATTATCTTAAAAATAATACATATTTCTAAAAAGTAACCAAACCAAATTATTTTATTTTGTATTGCAAAGCAGTAGATATTTTTTTTATATTCCTTTGATAAACAATGAAGGAGTAAAGTGGTTTCATCTCAACGATTTGGAGATGATTTGGGTATTTTTTATTTATTATGTGACACCGATAGAAAAATTATGGCTAAACCAAATTACGTATCAGATCATGTAGATTACTAGCTATTTTTTTCATATGTAATTTCTCTGTAAGTGTCGACGAAAAGTTGGTTCATCTGCACGCTTTTTTCAAGCTTTTTGCGAGAGAGCAGCCTTAATAATAAATGCATTTTGTTTATTAATATTCAAAATTTATAGTTTATACACAAACACTGTGTCGAAGACTGAGGAAAAGAAACGACGTTAGACGATCGTTAGACAATGCACGGCCTTCAAGCCACACCTCCGTGCCCGTCGGAGAGCGTGAGGTTTTTTTCGTTACGAAATTTCTGGATTTTCCCGCACTCAAGGCCCGCGATAGAAGCTATGCAATAGCTTAAAAACCACAGATCTATGGAGGATTTCCGTTAAAGTTATTGCGTCTACATTAGATAAAATCACACCTCAACTATGTATTTTTTTTAATACTAGTATCCAATCTGGTGTGTTTCCTGAATTAATGAAGCTTAGTAAAGTAACACCTTTATTTATATCTGGCAGTACATTAGACGCCGCCAATTGTAGACCTATTTTTGTACAGCCAAGTTAGTAAATTTTTTGAAAAAGTTATTCTTGATCAAATGCAAATTTTTTAATGTAAATAATTTACTATTTATACCGGATGTCATTTTTAACGTCTCGAAAAAATAGGGTGTAACATGTGAATGGAATAGAAGCACATGTCACTGATATTTTTACAAAAAATAAAAACAAAAGTTTTGGGTTAAATGTTTAAAACAAAATTTCTTTGAACAATTACTTTGCCTTTTGCCCTTGAGCCTGTGATCCTGGAAAGTGACCAGGTCAAAGATGCTTACTAAATTTATTGTTTTATTGCCGGTCGTAAAA